AGAAGTAGAAGATAGGGAAGGCTGGGAAAGTGTGGACTTCAATGAGCAGTCGTGTGTGGATAGTGGTACACTAATTGTGACAAACCTGCCACATCAAGATTAGATGATCATAGTGTGGGAAACCCAGGGTGGGGTCCATGGGGACTCTCTGTGGGTGTCTGCAATTTTCCTGGAAATCTAAAACTGCTCTAAAATGGAAAGTTTAGGCTAAAATCTCAAGTACGTTATGGACTCAGTCCACCCGCGGGCAAGTGGCAGGTGCTCAGTAAACAGGAGCCTGAGTCCAGGGCCAGCCAGTCCCCAGGAAACGCAGCAAGCATGGTACCCTCTTATCTACCCCTCCCCAGCTCAGGTGTCCCGCTCACCCAAATCACACCAGGTACTGTTCCTCTGGGTTCCACGGCACCTGGTCAAGGGCTGTCTTAGTCTCCTTGGTATCTACAGGATCTGGCACATAACAGACATTCAACAAGGGTTTATTGAATGGAAGGAAAAAGGGAAGGAAAGAAGGGAGGGAGAGAGGAGGGAGAAGAAGATAGACAAATAGAAGAATAAATAGATGAAAACAGATGGATCATGGATAGATGGATGGATGATGAATGGATGGATGGCAGATGGATGCATAATGGTTGAATGGATAAATTGATGGATAAATGGATGGTGGATGGATGGAGGGAGTGGGGAGGATGGATGGTGCATGAATAGATGATGGGTTGTGGATGGATGGATGAATAACTGATGGAAAAAATGGATGAATGGATAGATGGATGGATGGAGTGAGTGAAGGAGGGAGAAAAAATGAATGGTAGATGGATGGTGAATGGAGAGAGGCAGGGAGGGTAGATAGATAGATGGATAGAGGGTTGGATGGATGGATGGAAAGATGGATGGATGGATGGATGGGTGCATGGATGGATGGAGGATAGATGGTGGATGGTGGATGGTGGATGGATATATGATGAATGGATGGATAAGTAGATAAATGCTTTGTTGAGTTTGAGAGGATGGGGCTGGGTGGAAACTATTTACTCTCTACTCTGGTTGTGTCCTCCCCTTGAACAACTGAGATGATCTCTGGGATTATTATCGGCCAAACCCAGGGCATCAGGGTTGACCTGAATTGACTTAACCTGCACTGGGAGGTGAGGATTATCATAAAGAGCTAACTTACCCCAAATGATGCTGTCACCACTGGCAACCAGGATTTCTTCCAAACAAGACAGCCGGTGTTCCTGTGCGCTCCGAAATCCCCTGCCGGCTCGGAAAGCACCAGAATCCCGGGGTTTTTCTGGAGTGGGTTCTATTTCGCCAACGAGAACGAGTCTCAGTCGCATGCGAGTGGTCAGAGGAGAACTTCCAAAGCAGCGGCCACCTGCCAAACTGAGAGCTCCTTCCAACCCCGGTCAGTCACCACCCTGACCACCCACCTTGACTGAACCGCCCCCTGTCCAGGAGGGGTGCCATCCCCCACACAGGGCCCCACTTTGCCATCTCGGACAGCACGTCCCACAGAAACAGTTCTTACCAAGAGGCTCCAGCATCCAACTATGACCTGCCTGTCACAGGCGCAGCTGCCTGAGGGACCACTTCTGTGCTCAACACGACAGGACACAATAACCCAGCCAGGCCACCAGCCTGACCCCTCAACACATCCCCACTTACCGTAACATCCTGCCCCCCACTTCACGGGGCTCCTTTTCTTGACCCAGGATCCAGGGTCCGGGGTGGAGGATGAGGGTTTTGAGATCCTCCACCAAAATATTAGAACGTAATAATCAACAAATATATGTGCTGTTAAGTAGAGAGTCGGGTCACAAAACCGCACACACAATAGAATCACGTGCATAGAAATGAAGACCGTAGATAGCAGGTTCCTACCAACCTCCACCTCCACCAAGTTGAACCCACAACACTCAGCTCCCGCTGTATGTGTGTCCATGGATGCCCATGCCCTGCTGACCACACCCAGCTGGGGCTTCCCCAGGGCACCCTCCCGTCTGCTTCCACCTGCACGCCCACCATGCCTCTGCATTTAACATTTGGAGGAATTGCCAAACTGTTTTCCAAACTGACTACACTATGTTGCATTCCCACCAGCAGTGGGTGAGAGTTCCAGTGTCTCCATAGCCTCGCCAACACTTGTTATTGTCTGTCTTCCTTTTAGCCATTCCAGTGGCTGTGGAGTGGCACCACGTTGTGGTTTTGGTTTGCATTTCCCTAATGACTAGTAGTGCTGCACATCTCTTCAGGTGCTTACAGGCCGTGTGTGCATCTACCTTGAAGAAAGGAGTGAGCCTGGAGGTCGTAGGAGCCCAGAATGATGTCAGAGGCCCCCCGAGGGAGAGGCTGGTGGGCCCTCCTAAGGACTCTGGTTGCTCCGTGTGGGAAGGGGTGCCGTTGGAGGTCTGGGCCGAGGATGACACTGTTTTCTGAGTGGAAACCAGGGCGCCCACACCCAGCCAGCCCCGCGGCTCGGTAACCGACCTCAGGGGCAGCTGCCCAGGCTGTGGGAGCTGAGGTGACAGCCTTTTCAACAATCAGAAGATGACTTCCAAGCTCTCTGACTCCTCCCTGATGTTCTCCTGCATCACCTGAGGGTCGTAATATTTATACGTGTAGGTATTTCCAGTCCGCCTCTGTTTGCTCTGTTAACTTTATTTCGACAGGTGCTAGTTTTTCTGTTGGCCGGGCCTGGTGTTCCTTGTTATGCAAATACCTGGTGATCCCTGGTTGCCTGGTCCGCATTGTAACGGGGACTGCCAGTCCCTTTGCCAGCCCCCCGCCCACCACAGCAATGTTGGGGGCAAGAAGGTGGACGCATCCCCCTCCCTCCTGGGTCCTGCCTCTCTGGACACCACACTCACCCTCACGGATATCGATGAAGCCAGGCTCAGGACGTCCGTTCACTAAGACAGTCCAATGAGGGACACAGAGGCAAAGCCTGGAACTCCTGCAGCCACTTCGTTGCTACGAGGCAACCCATCCTGCTGGCAGCCCCACCACGAAGAGGCAGGCAGAGCAAGAGAAGTGCTGCAGAGTGGCGCCAGGGCCTGGTTCAACGGCACTCAAGGCCCACCTGCCACCAGACTCAGCCGGCTCCTCCTGCCACCAGGAGCCTGAAGGACAGAGATCCCCGACATGCACTTCCTGTCAATCCCACCCAAAGACTGGGGTCTGGTAGCATGTGACGAGCCCTCTCTGCCCAGCGCCCCAAGATTTGACCTTGGAAACCCTTTTCCTTCTGGGTCTGCCACATGGTCTGTAGAGATGGGCATGTACCCAAGGTCACGCAGGTCATGATGATAAAATGCAGGGTTCGAACCGGGGCCTCTGTGCCCCAGGTCACGTGATATTCCTGAACAGAAACCCAGCCACTGGCCTGCCCGGCCCCGCCCACTGAACCAGCTGCTAAATTGATAACCTTGCAAAACACGCACGTTTCCCAGTGCAGCGCGTCCTGGGGACGGTGAGGCCGTGTGCAGCCTCCCGGATGTGGTGGAGGATGGGGGTGGCGGCCTGGTGTGGGGCGGGGTCTTAGGGAACCCTCTGCAGAACCCCCGGGCACCCGCTCCCTCCCTGGAAGGAGATCAGAAGGCCGCCTCCCTCCCGAGGCTGCAGGCAGCTGGCTCCCCACTTGAAAGGGACCCCGTATCAATTTCACTTTTTTTCCTTCTTGGTGCCTCCCTAATGAGATGATGGTAGACTTGAAAATAAATAGACGTGCGGCTGGGTAAACAGATAAATAGATAAATAAAGCCTGGGTCTCTTCCAGGGGTGCTGGCCCTCCTCCCTCCCGGGGGCTGGCGGGGCCTGCGTTCCAGTGCCGGCTGCGAGCTGGAGGCTCCGGGGAGGAGGCGGTGAGAACAAAACTCCCAGCCACCCTCCTGAGCGCCCACTAGGTGCGGCCCCAGCTTTGCTCCCTCTCACTGAGTCTTCACCAGGACCGTGGACTCGGCAGGCGTCTCCCCCAGGTGCGTGGGTGCTGTTCTTCTGGTGGCTTCTGGTCATGGCGTAGGAATGGTCACCCTGAGGAGGGCTGGAGGGCTGCGGAGGGCAGCGAGGTCACGGGGACAATGAGGTCAGCTGGCCGGGCAGCACAGATGCCCGACGGCAGGTCCGTGGTCCCGATTTCTAGGGGAGACGGTGAGCCTGGTCCTATTCCTCCAGCCTCGCTTATGCCTGACGCAGCCCAGCAGACATGGGGATCTGAAGGCCTCCAGGGGATCATCTAAGAAGCAATGACAATGGCAGATCCCAGACCCGAGTACAGAGGTGAGGGGCGAGGGGCAGCGACCCTGTGGGGGAGGAGTGGGACAGAGGGTGGGGGTTGGGCAAGGGGGAGCTAAAGGGGAGAAACCCGCTGGTGCTTAAAATGGTGATGGAGATGGAGGTGGAGGCCAGACAGATGAGCCGGGAGAGGAGTGACCAGCCGGGCAGGCCAGGCCCACCCACGGGGGTATAAAGTAACTGGGGAGGAAGAGACAGTGAGCCCAGGGCTGCAAGTCTCCCGGGAATGAGGTGCCTGGGATCTGTGGATGACCCCAGCGCAGAAAACACGGCCCGTGGGCCAAGCCCCGAGGGAAGGTGTGGAGAGGCGGAGCACGGGGCCACGGAGAGGAGTGGGCCAGCGTGAGCATCCAGGGCAGGAGGGACGTCCCAGGCCCTCACATTCTCACGGGGATGACCCGGCATGGGAGGGGCTGGGCTGGTCCTGACTCCCGGAGACAGAGCGGGGCAGGGGTGCGGTGAGGTGCTGTGGTCCCTCCAGGAGCACCGGGAGGCCTCGGGGAGCACCCAGACCCCCCCGCCCCACGTTCCCACTATGAAGGGTATGGTGAGCCTCACCCCAGTGGGACCAAGGGCAAGTCCCTTTATTCTCCATTTTAAAATGTCGTTCATTTTTCAGATCAAAAGAAGCACTTTCTTACAAAACTAAACATGGTCTTGCCATACCCTCCGGCAGTCACACTCCCGGTGTTTGCCCAGAGGAGCTGAACCCGCACGTGGGTGTGCATAACAGCTGATTCATCGTCACCACAGCTCGGAAGCAACCAGGACGGCCTCCGGGGGTGGAGGATAAATGAAGGGGGGACATCCTGGGAAAGGAATCTTCTTCAGCACCAACAAGAAGCGAGCTATCGCGCCGGGACAGACATGGAGGAGGCCTGTCCGACGTGGAAGCAGCCGATCGGAAAAGGCTGCCCAGAGTCCGATGCCCCTCAGATGGCGTCTGGAAAGGGCCAAACTCTGGGGACAGTGGAAGGCTCGGCGGCTGGTAGGTTTGGGGAGGGGGGTGACTAGGCAGAGCACAGAGGACCTTCAGGGCAGTGACACTGCTCTGCCTGATGCTACGATGGGCACCTGTCATTATACTTTTGTCCACACCTGTGGAACACACGGCACCAAGAGCGGCCCTCACGTCAATGTGGACGTCAGTTGCATGACATGTCAGTCCTGCTGTGAGTGTAGACACATGTGCCACACCAGTGCATGCTATACGGGAAGTCGCTGGACTTTCTACTCAGTTTTTCTTTTCTTTTCTACTCAGTTTTTCTGTAAAAAATCTATTAATTTTTAAAAACCCACTAAAACCTGGTCCCCAGTGGTCACTGCAGCTGGTATTGAACTCTGCAGACCACAGCCCCCTGGTTGGTCAGATCCCACCTCCCCGCGCCCCCCCACCCAGACCTGCTCTGTTCCCAGCAGGACCGGGAGCCAGGACAGCGGGAAGAGCTGGGGCCAGCCTGCTGCCTGCCCCACGCCCTGCCCTCCGCCCGCAGCTCAGAGATGGCCGGGGAGGCGGTGGCGGCTGTCAGCCAGGGGCTCGGTCAGTGTCCGAGGCCAAAGGTGGTGCAGGAGTCTGGTGGGCCTACGGAGCCTCCTGGGTGCACCCCGGGAGGGGACCCCTCCATCGCTGGTCTCTGGGCCACACCTGGGCACTCAGGTTGCACCTGCACCCCAGACGGAACAGGACTAAGACCCAGAGCCCTTCCTGCACGCCCCTCCCTGGAGCATGAACAAAGCTCCTCTTTGATGAGCCTTCCAGGGACTGAGTCGCATTCCCACGGGCCGTTCCTGGCCTCCTGTCCAAACGCAAGTTGTAGGTGTCCTGACCCGAGGGACAGGCCGCTCTGTTATCAGCCACCAGCCCGCACGGCGGAGGCTTATCAGAGCGCTTGGGTTACCCGGGAGTGCTCGGCGGCGGCCGCCCGCCCGCTTTGTCCGCCTGGCCTGCACCCCCTCCTGCCCCCCAGGTTCCCAGCTGCTCCCTGGCCCGGTCACTAATCCGAGGGTATCACTTGCAACTTCCTGGAGTCCTGGGGTTCTGCAAAGGTGCTGCAGGGACTCCCTGGAGGAGGGGGCTCCAGGCCCCCAGTTCCCTTTGTGACTAGGATATCGGGACACCTTGTAGAGTTTCTTTGAAAAATGACTCTGGCTACAACGTGAGTGAGCCTTGAGGGCATTATGCTGAGTGAACGAGCCAGTCACAGGGGGCTCCACTCTGTGAGGTCCTCCTAAGAGGGGTCTGTGCACCCTCCGAGGTCCCGGCTGCTGGGTCCCAGGCTGCACCGGGTTGGGGCTACTCACCCCGCGGAAGAGGGTATCTGGCCCCCGAGAACCCTCCTGAAATCCCAGAGTCCTGAGCGCAGTCCTTCTGGAGTTCAAGTGCATCCGATGTTGGCAAAATTCAGCTTCCTGTTTACAGGGGCGAGCGGGATGGCATTGGGGAGCCTTGGAGGGGTCCCGGGGGTGGCGGGCACCCGCGGGGCTGACAGGGTGCGCTGGTGAGTGAAGAATCGACACGTCAGAAGCGTGCGGGTGAAATTTCCCTGGGAATGTCCCCAGGTTTAAGAATTAAAGGAAAAACAACTTGGCAAATAGATGTGGGTTTTTGCTGAACCCGAAACATTTGAAAAGCTGTTTGGCTAACTCCAGCCCTGGGCGTGGTCCCTCCTTCCCCAAGGCCAGTGGTCGCCATCGAAGACTTCAGGCCATGCACCGGGAGCCCACGGACCCTCTGGCTCAGTCTCTTCCTGCCTGTGTCCGCCCAGCGAGGAAGCCCGCTCACCCCGCACGGCCTCTGCCCACTTCCAGAACTTCAGCAACATCTACGGGGGGCTGATTCCTGAGGGATTTTAAAGAAATATTTCGGATGATTTAATTGCTTTCGAGACAAGAAAGAAGACTTGATTTTGATTCACAACAACAACAGCAAAAAAGAAACAAACAAAAAACGAAAAGCAAAACTTGGCAACAAAAAAGCAGCAGTGCCGTCACTGTGTGCCTGCGGCCGCTCCTCACACCCAGGAGGCTTCCAAGAAGGCCTGGAGTGCACGGTCCCAAACATCGCCGAGGTTTCCAGGAAGTTCCCTGCCGGCCTCTGCCACGGAGAGGGATAGCGGCCCTGGTCCCATTTCTGGGGCAAAGGCAGCCTCTGCCCTCCTCGGCCCAGGCCGGGTGCCGTGCCTGCATCTTTGCTCAAAGCCTCCCTCCCAGGAGCCTCTGCTCCTCTCGCTGTGTGCAGGCGGCCAGGGATGGTCGTAATGGTTTCCCAACTCCTTTCCCACCACGCCTCTGGGCTCAGGGTGTGTTGTCTGCCACGTTTGTAAGGTAGGTCTTTGTGAGCCCCTGGTTACTAGCCTGTACCCCCACATTCCCACTGCCATCTTCTGAGCAGATATAGCACAGCCTACGGGCTGCCAGAAACACTCTCGCTGTGTGCAGGCGGCCAGGGATGGTCGTAATAGTTTCCCAACTCCTTTCCCACCACGGCTCTGGGCTCAGGGTGTGTTGTCTGCCACGTTTGTAAGGTAGGTCTTTGTGAGCCCCTGGTTACTAGCCTGTACCCCCACATTCCCACTGCCATCTTCTGAGCAGATATAGCACAGCCTACGGGCTGCCAGAGACACCTGGGCAAAAGTCACAGCCTGTGCTTGAGCAACTCACAGTGGGGGGCCAACCCAACAGATAATTACAAACCTCTGCAAGTACCGTCCACTCCCCCACTGCCCCACCTATCTGTCCACCACTCATCCACATCAGTACATCCATCCCCACATCCATCTATTCATCCATCCACATGCTTGAGCAACTCACAGTGGGGGGCCAACCCAATAGATACTTACAAACCTCTGCAAGTACCGTCCACTCCCTCACTCCTCCACCTATCTGTGCACCACTCATCCACATCAGTCCATCCATCCACACATGCATCATCCATCCATCTATCCATCCATCTATCCATCCATCATCCATCCATCCATCCATCCATCATCCATCCATCATCCATCCAACCATCCATCCATCCATCATCCATCCAACCATCCATCCATCCATCCATCATCCATCCAACCATCCATCCATCCATCATCCTCCCATTTA